CAGTGGAAAGAACAGCTCTTATTGAAAATGATAGAGAGCATATGTTTAATCTATTACCAGCACTTTTGCAAGCCCACATCAGTCTAAGATGTTTTACCTTTTATTTGCCAAATAGGCCCTGTTTTTGTGATTTCCTGGCTGATCCTCTCACAATTAGAAGTTAAGCACTGTTATTTTTCTTCTTTTGTGTCTTTCTTGCCTCAAACTTGAGTACTAAACTCTGGGCCATTTCTTGAATGGATAGGTTCACCCATGTGCCTTGCTGATTATATGTTTAGACATGAAGTAAATGTATTATGGCACCGCTTTCAGCAATTTTGACAGCAAGCTGGTATTGGGGAGGGATTGTTTATATGATTTATTTTTTAAGTTTCTTTATTTTAACTTATGGTAGGGCCTCAAGGCATCACAGGTGCAGAAACAAGTGCTGATGACATTTGTGGATGTAAAAGTGCATGGTTTCTTTTGTGGGGATGTCTTGGGGTAGAAGGAAACTCGGCTCCAAGGGACCCATTTACATTCAGGGCTGTAAATGTGTGTTTGTCTTATTAAGACTGTAAGGCTCAAGGAGTCAAAGTTTCTGTTTTACACAGAGTAAGAAGGAAAGGAAAGTTGGCTCCAAAAATGCATTGCACACTTTGTGTTAGTGTTAATAGTCCACAGCTAAAATGAGATAATATGTTTGTCTAGGTTAGTGTGTGAGTAAAGCCCATATATCACACATGGCACGGTGTGGAGGATTTTCTTGTGTGTGAGATACTGGGAAGTCGTATATGTGTGTGTATGGATATATGAATGGGCTCGGATGCATGCTTTTTCCATATGTGTGGAAGATAATGTCACACATGAATAATTGCTCTGCGTTGTAATATAAGCATATACACTTCCATACCTAGTTTGAACATAAATACATGTCTACATTGATCTAAACCTATTTCTACATGTCTGAGTATGTGTGTAGCTGTGATAATAGGGACCAGTTACTCATTTCAAAGGCTATCCTATTGTGAGGCATGGCAGTTGTGCAATTAAGGAATATTTATTTCTTTCTAAGTCTTTGTTTAACTACTGTTTGATAAAAGTCAGCAATTATACTGTACATCAGAGAGGTGATTAAAAATTCACTTGCTTTCCTGCAGCTCGTAGCACATGTGGTTGATGTGGGTAAAATTGGAGCACATTAGTGGACAGACTAGCCATTAACAACATGCAGAGGAAGCTGGGGCTGAAATTTGTTCCAATTCTCCCCATGTCCTCGAGCCATTAATTACAAGCCTTGCAAGTTTAAAAATAGAAATAAATCAGGATGCAGAACAGTTCTACAGTTCTGAGTCTTGTTTTAGGAGTTTTGTAATCTCACCTTATGATACAGTTGCCTCTTTCAGTGGCACCGATGTTCTCAGCTGTATTGATATAGGACGAAAAATTATTCTGCCAGAATCAAAGGGGCCAATTTGTTTGCTAATTTCATTTGAAAGCAGATTTAAATGCATGCACACATGTGGCATTAGAAATTCTGACTGTTGGCACATTTGCTGTTTGATAAGTTTGATTTACCGTCCCAGTAGAACTTTTGCTAATAAGGTCTAGTGTAACTGTAGGGTCTTCAGCACAGGTCATTATCTTGTTATCTGAGTCTAATGTGGAGTTTTATTAGACTTTTAAATGTGAATCTGAGGGGTCTAAACTCAGACCTAGGATAAGCAGGTGTATCAGCTTGGTGTGTCATCCACTTGAAAGCGATTTGAACTTGGCCAGATGTGTCAAAACAGCTGTCTGTGAATTTTTAAGAGGTTTGTTTTAGGGGTAATTGAGTATCTCATTATTTTTAAAGATTTATTGCACATTTTAGTCAAACCTCCTTTCACTTTCAACATTCCCTTATTAATTGACAGTGTGGGAAATGCAAAAAACCTGCACTGTTTTTAATCCATACTTAGTCTGTTTTTGTTTGACTTTTAGATGTGACTCTGCTATTGTAGCAGCCAGAAACACGTTTTCATGTTGAGTTGGAAAGTATGAAATTGTTACATGAGCACATGCATGTCAGTTTAGGACTACCAGGCCTTTCAGGATTAACAGGAAATAACTTGTGCAACTTTAACCTCTAACCTGGAAAGCTATTTGCTTGAATACAGTGTAAGTTAGTTAAGTAATAAAGTGTGTATATCTATGCACAAATAAAAATGTACCAAAGAGAAGAAGCTTACAGGATGCAAAGCCTAAGAAAGGATAATAGGGATATGAATACCGGCATATTTGCACTAGAAGGATCCCGTGCAAGCACTAGACAGGTTTACAGTCTTGTTAGACTGTCATGACATTAACACACCCTTACTGGTCAGCATCATCTGCCTTATGGCTTGGGATTAAAATTTGTCATCTCTCACAAAGATGAAGTGTGCTGATCTATTCCTCCTATTTTGTTGTTTCTTTAACCACCAAGCAATTTTTTTCTAATCTGACTCCTTTCATAAACTCTTGTAGTCTTTCTCGGTGCTGGAGGATACCTTGGTGCTGTCTTCTCTGCTGGCCTGATTACTTCAATAACTTGCATTCTTGAGTGGTTAGTCTCTTGAATAGCATAAGGGAAGAAATGTAAACTCACTCAACAGAATTAAGTGAGACTAAGCACTCCATGGCACATTATGCCTGCAGATTACATAGGATGTTTATTTAGGACTTTTTACATGGTTGCCATCTCTGTTCAGGAGAATCTTTGTGATTTATAGATGGCTCATGTTTATGCATTCTGACAGTTCTGACATTCAAAAGGTGATAAATGGGACAGAGGTAGGTGGAAGGAAACTATTTGGAAAATATGTTTACATTTTTAAATAATAAAATACTAAAATAGCTTGTTAGAGAGAGAGAAACTCTATTCCTCTCCTACCCTCTCATTTCCCCCCCCCCCAAAAAAAAACACTTCCAAAGAGTTTCATGACCAGAAGCTAAACGGAATTTGAGTGTTGGGATTCTTGGAGAGTTGATGATGCTATTAAAAGTGATATTAATATTCAATCCTGCCTTATAAAAAGCAAAAGTGACAGTTCGGAAGGCCTGTTTGCACATGTTGTACAAGAACAGTTGAAAGTTGCCATTTGCACTTGTGGGTTCCCTTGGAATGCACTGGGCCAGTGAAATCACCTGCAGAAGAGCTGGGTCCCCATTGCTCTGGGACTGGGGGATATCAGAGCATAAGTTCTTCCACCAGCATCGACCATCTTCCTTCCTGTAGCTAAAATCAACAGTGATACAAATAGCCACACCTTGTGTGTTGCAGCATGCTGGCTGGAGAAGGCAGGTTGTAGGTGGGTGCAGACCAATTGGAAGTATACATATTTCCAATTGGAAGTATACATATTTCTGCTCTACGTTTGTCTAATTCACCTAATTCACTGTCAGACCGCCTTACCAAGGACTGTAGGACATCTTCTACCAATTTTAGCAATTTTAAGATCAAGATTGGATATATTTTGCTCAGGTAGGCAAATCATTTTGGACCAGTTGTGTCCTTCCTGTTCAGGAAACAAGGCTAGAGGACCCGCAGCTCTGCCCTGGCCTCAAAGTCTAAAACTGCACCCTGGTAGCATTGAGAGATATGACTGTGCTTTACCAAGCAAGGGGCAGAAGGGCTGATGTTACAGGAGAAGTAATGACTAAGGATAAACTTGGCAAGCTCCCTCTCCTGTACAGCTTAAGACACACAGGACTTCTGGAAGTATCCTGCAAGTTGCCTTTCTTGTTGCTCTCCTCATCCATCCTTTTAGCCTTTAGGTCATGCTTGCCTATCACCAAATTTGACTGGGATTGTGAAGTGCGTGAAAAAGAATGCATGCAAACTTGGCATATCGTACACTACTGTTTTATTGCTACTGAATTTTTACTAGAAGGTCTCAGTTGTGAAGCATCAAGCCTCAGGGAAAAATAGAGCTGTTTTTCCACCCCTTTTTCCCTAAAGGGCATTGTGAACTGCTGTAACCTTCCTCTTTAGAAGGCTGCACCCAAGGGAAATTGTGTTGTGGCTAGAGTCAAACTTCTGCCAAGGCTGTAAGGAATTGAGCGTTCCTGTACCACACATGTGCAGTCTCTGGTCTGGGGAAGAGCAGTGAGGGTAACTTCTAAGCCTGCAGGAAGGAGGACAAGCAGGCGGAGCAGGGCTGGGTTGAATGCAAAGACCTTGCTCCTTCCATTACAATACTTGGCTGTACCCCCCAAGTTATGTGGCTCTATGGTACCTACGTTGCCTTATATTGCCAATGGCAGCCCTGGGGGCAGGCTGCTCACCCTTCTCCCTGGCGGTCTCTTGGTGGCCACCTCAGTAACGCTGAGTGCACAGTTGCCCAGAAGGCTTGACTTTTATAAGTGGAAGCAGAAGAAAAGGACAGGGGTGCCGCAGGAGAAAGCTCTCCTATTCACTAGCTTAAATAAGTGGTTCTACTGTATGCAAGTTTTCCATTTCTAAAATATGAACACCCAGAGTTTGTACTGTTATGAGTTCTTTTGTCCCGCTGATTGAAGGGAGAGGTACCTTATTTGGAAGAGGAGGCCTGAAAGGGAAAAAAGTGGGTATTCTCTGTGGATTTACCGGAGTCCTACAGAAATTGCCTAATTTAATGCTGTGTAGAGGAGGAAGAAGTGTGAGCTAGCAGGAGAAAGGAAATCTTCCCTCTGCCTGCCACAGAGATTATCCAGCAGAGAATAGTTCTTGTGTTCTCCATGAGCAGTGGTG